CAGGATAGCAACCTCACATCTGCCGAGCTACCTCGGTGGACAAAAGAGAGGGCAGCCGGATATCCGCCACAAAGAATACCTCCTTCGGCCACCACCCCCGGAATCCGAAAGGTGGCTTCCAGAGATACACCTGTCGCCCGAAAGACACCCAAAGCTACTCCGGGATACCAGAGAGGGATCGGGACATCCCCAGGCAATCCAGATTCCATGGCAAACTATGCCACCGCCAAGAACCTGAACGGAAAAGGGATGGACCCCGGTGTCCTTTCCCCTACCTAGGAACTAGCGCGCCTGTGGGAGAAATCCCAAAGGCCAAAAAGAGGAAGGGCAAAAGGGAGGGGTGAGGAGGAGGAGGAGGAATGGAAAAAGGGAGAATGGGGAGGATGGGGTAGGGAGGGGAGAATGGGGGGTAATTAGGTTCGGTCTGAGGAAGAAGACCGACAGGGCTGATTCCGCAGACCAATATTCTACGACTATTATGGAAAACCGGCCACTGAGTCAGGTAGGGTCTTGGCGTACAGCTCAGCAGGAGCTTGGGAAAAGGGATTCACATGACCTTTTGGTTTTTAAGTTTACATTGGATGCTACCTATTTTCGAAAGGGAAAACCCCTGTACCCAAAATGCTTGGGCCTTTAATTTACTGTACATTTGTTGTAAAATATACCGAAATGAACTTCTCACCCATTAGATCTATAAAATATGTTCCGGACACCGGGAGGCAGGGTTCGATATGCTTAAGTTGTTAATGACCCTAAGACTAATACAGTCATTCGGACTTCTTGGTGTGAGGCCCTCTTACTCCTGCCTAAGCATCGGTGACAAATTTACCCCATTCTTCCTGTCATCTTCAATCTGCCCGCTGAGGATATTAAAGGCTGGGCATTCATCAGCTCTATTTTCCCGCTGGTAATATACGGTTTTGGAGGAGTCTGTTACTGACGCAAGTGAGGATAAGATGTAAGTGTTCTGCTCTGGCAGGGCTTAGACCAGGAAGTCCACCTCATCTAATTAGGAACTTATTCTCATTTGGCAGTATTTCCTCCGTGGACATCAGGGAGCAGGGTTTGATAACAAATACTTTGTAAAGTGACCCGTCAAGTTCTAAACCTCAACAACCACAGCCATCCTCGGGGATGGTCTTCACGAAATGCACATGCATGCTTGTGGCCTTTTGTGCTTACGTGTAATCTACATTTTTTATACTGCACAAGGAAATAAAATGTGTTTATTTTTTACTTCAGCGTTGACGTCGGTGGAATGGAAGGGTGGCGACTCGAGGAGGGAGGAGTCTAGTTCTGCCCGTATTTTGGCCTGGGGTCCACCTGACTATTATGCTGGCCTTGATGAAGTATGGAAGTCTCGCTCTACCTCTTCTTGGACCACAGTGACAAAGTTCCTGTTTTCTTCCCAGGACGTTTGTCCTCTTCCCAACTGGTCAGCGCGCCATAAATCAGCTCCTCCTAGACTTGGGGTAAAGCAGATGTTGACTTAAGAAGTAGGGGTTGGGGGCTGATGTCTGACTTCCAGTTTAGGGGAGGGGAGGGGGTCCACCTGACTTAACTGAGAATTAGTTACCATTTTTCTTTCCAGATGAAACTTTGTTTCTTTTATTACTGCCGTCCGTATATGGGCAATATTTTTCTCTTAACTTCACAACGTCGTCATGTTTGATGATAAATATCAGGCTTTTAATTTGTAACTTTAATTTGTAACTTTAATTTGTACTTTTATCAAGATTGATGGACTAAACACATCAACTCTAGGATAAGGTACTGATTATCTCAAACAGGTGTCCCATTGCTACTGTACACAGCTCACACTGAGGTCCGTGGTTCGATCCCTGGTATGGGTGGAAATATCGGGGAGGGGGGGGGGGTCCTTAAGACACCTGTTGTCCCTGTTCACCTAGCAGTAAATAGGTATTTGGGTGTAAGCTGACTGGTGTGGGTCACATCATGGGAGCAAAATTAACCTAATTTGCCCGAAAAGCTCTGCATAATGAGGGGCTTTCTATGTGGTATGTCACTGATGTCAGCTGTGTGTATACATTGTATAGTAAATGTACTTGTAGAAAAAAAGATCACTGTCATCAACTCCTCATCTTCCACTGGACCGAAGGTGCCACTGGCAGGTAAAATGTTTCCTGAGTAAAGATACCCAAATGTTGAACAAGTGTCTCAATTATCACTAAGGCTCAGGTGTTGTGTAGTTACCTATTTGTAGCCACGAGAAGAGAGCTGATCTTGGGGTGTCCCATCGTTGTTAATACATATCTTTAATTTTTTTTTTTTTAAATTTCTGAGGGTTGTAGCACTTACTACTGGGTACCTCCTCATTCAATTTATTCCATTCTTCTACCACTATTTATAAACAAAAATTTACCAATATTCCTTCAACTTCATTTTTTCATAATTTATATCTGCGACCTTTTCTTATCCCTGTTGAAGGTACTGTGTTAAAAACTTTATTCTTTCATATTCTGTTATAACTTTGTATGTTGTGATCATATCTCCCTTTTTCCTATCAGCCAATGCGGTCATCTTTAGTGCTTCCAACTTTTGCCATACTTTGCCATTTATCTCACATCAATTGTGGGGGGTCACTGCCCCTGCAGCCTGGCCTGATTGACCAGGCTGTTTGTGCTCACCACTACTATTCATTTTTAGCTCTTAAGATCCATTTTGAAACTTTTCTTTAAATTTCTATTTATATCTATTTAATCCAGGTCACATCCTAATAACATGAAAACTTTGTGTTCAGAAAACACACACACAACACTAAAAGTTTAAAGCTGATCAGAGGAGGCATTCTTTAGTTATCACATGCATCCCAATAATTCCAAGTTTGTAACTATGCTAGTGTACTAGAAAATTTGCACTTACATAAGGTAAATTTCTTGGGCACTGTCCTGTCTGTAATAATAATATTAATTTTGACATGATACATGGTTGTACAAAGGAATATAATATTTGGGTGTAAATGCCAAAAGCCCCTTTGTATGCAGAGCATAAGATGCATCTGTCATTAAATAATGAAGCCCATTCAAAAGAGCATAAAAATATGTTTTAATGTGACAATTTCAGACTGCAGTGGAACCTCAAAAATCGAACTGCTCCCAACACAACCAATTATGTAAGTGTATTTTTGTAAGTGCTTTTATAAGTGTATTTTTGAGGGTCTGAAATGGACTAATCTATTTACATTATTCCTGATGGGAATAAATTCATTCGGTAAGGCACTCGAACAGCCTTCTGGACTGAAGAAAGTTCGATATTTGAGGTTCCACTGTATTTCAAATCGGTAAATGTGCACCCTACATATCTCAGTTACACAAACTGGCCGTTGTCCAAAGCAGGGTACACTTTTTTTGAATATCTGAAGCCAAGCAGAGGAGACAAAGTTATTGGACCCATTCCAAGAAACTAGATATGGGTTATATAACTTTGATCACAGGGCACCTGCACTTGCTGGTATGTATAATAAACAAGTGCTGAAAAGTTGAAACTTATTAGATGAGTTGTTGCCAAGTTATAAACAAAGTTTAGAGAGAAAAAAGAAAATTGAAAAAATTTCAGGCAGGTAATAAAAGGTACTTCTCTGGGGATACAGTACCTAATAAGGCAGATAGCCATATCCTATTATAAAACTCTAAAAGAAAGGAAACACTTCATAACTACGTATATGTTCATACTGTATAGTTTGAGTAAGTTGATGCATAACAAAGTTTAATTGTTTGTAGACATTAGCTGATCACACTGCAATGGCAAATTTCCTTGCCAAGTTTGCACAAACTATTTCTGAGAACTATTACAATTCCATGCCCTTAAGCACTTTGATAGTATATAATACCATGTTAGCTAAAAAACTGCTCCTGGATTCAAGGCTGTGAAGGATCGACTCAATTGACTTCTGTGGGACTACTGCAACAAGTAATTCAAGTGCAAGCCTATGCAAATTTCAACTGTCCATGCTTTTAAAAAAGACGAAAAACCCCA